ACTACGACAAAGACGCCGAGAGAGCACAAACGCAGGAGAGTGTGGGAGGAGAAACAACACGAAGATGTTGGATGGGACAACGTGACATTGGATGATCCAAAAAGCGGAGATAAGGCGGGTCTTGGCTTTCAAACCCGACGAGAGCTCTGTTGACGCTCCAGGTTTGGGAAAGACAGGGGATGATCCTCAAGCTACTGAGGGTGCAACTGAATTTCCACTATTATGTTTTATTTTCTGTTATTTTCTTTGATCAAACTATTTTTATTGTTGCCGTTTATTTTTATTCCCGTCAGACTCTTGCATTATGATTGAACGATGAATGCTATATTCTTACCGCGCTAGGCTCATTTAGACCCATCACAAGATCAACGAGCCATATTGCTTTTTGCATGGTGATTGACTCAAAGTCCGGTTCGAGGGTGGGCGGTTGGAAGTGGTCCTTTTATCTTCTTGCTCCCTACCTGGATGCTGTGATATCAATTTAAGTCACATTTTTTTCAAAAAAAACTTTTGGGTGAAAAAATCCGAAACGAGTGTTTTCAAATGACAATTTCTGCCTAAATTAAAACTTGAAAACTAAAAGTTGAAAGCAAATGGAAGAATGCTTTAAACTATTTTTCGTTTTTTTGTTACACAAAAAGCAGTTTTAACCAAAAAATACTCCCTATTGGTGTTGGACTCGGTTCGGGCCACCCGACCCGGGAACCGGCCTGACCCGATATTCCTGGGGCCCGGCCTGGGAACCGGTTCTGGGTCTAGGCCCAGTTTTAGGGTGTAACTGATAAGTCCATTTTTTGTACTTATTTTTCTTATCAAAATTAAGCAATTTTTGAATAAAAACAAAAAGAAAAGGCGTGTTTTAGATATTTTGGTTCAAGTTTCATGAAATCAGGTAAAAATCACATTCATAATATGTTTGGCGAAATTCCGGGTCAATTGAGCACAAAATGAGTCAATTTGAGTGACAAATAAATTCATATCGGAAGAAGCAAGCATAATATCAAAGTGGTATAGAAGACAATCTTGAAGAGCAGATAATAGAGCACAAGTCAGATGAATTTACTCAAAGGCTGTCTGGGAGGCTGCCATTTTGGCCGCCTATGGCTAATATGAAAAGTCAAAGTTTGGCTTTGACCGGAACGGGGAAAGACTGAAGGCTGCCGACACATGACGGAGGGCGGCCGCCCTCGGTGACCGCCTGCGGCACAACGCGACGGAGTCAACGACCGGCCGGTAAGATTTGACGGAGGGCGGCCAGACAGAAACGGCAGGCGACCGCCCTTGTGACAGCCTGCGGCGGAGATTTGACGGGCTGCCGGCGATGCGACGGAAGGCTGCCAGATCGGTACGAAGGGCGGCTGCCCTTCCGGTCGCCTATGGGAAATTTTTTGCTATAAATAGCAGGCTTTTTTCTCAACTCAGATACACCAATTTCAAGCCCAAATCAGATAAAAAAGTGTGTCTTCTTCCTCCTCAAAGCTCAGATTTCCACCATGTTGCACCTTCATCTTCAATATTTCATATATTTCTCATTTTAGCTCCAATTTGTAAGTTTTATATATGAATTTTCATCCTCTCAACGTGTAGAATCTGAATCTGTGCTTTGTTTGTTTTACCGTTCTTCGAAAATTTTCCAGAATATTTATCAAGTAATTTGCATTTTCTTCCAAAAATTGAATAAAATAGTTGTCGATGTTGAATCCATTCCAATTAATTATATAGTTGTTTAATAGCCTTAAGGTAGTTATTTATCAAAACAAAGTTAATTTATACGAAGCAGAAGTAATTTTTAATCAATTCCGGCATTTAGTTGTTATTATTGCATAAATTAAATTAAATACTCAAAAAAGGTAAAAAATAAAGTTTCTGTCCTAATTCTAGTTTAATTCACAGTAATATCACACCCAGTAGTCAATATAAAGTTTAGAACGAATTTAGAATATTTGTAGTTGCTTTTTGTATTTTTCTAGTTCATATTGGGAAAATTATCAATTAGTTGTCAAAATTGGATTTTAGGTTATAAAATTCGGGGAAAATTCCAGAAGGTGATATTTTAGTTCTACAAATTTATTTTGGCAGAATATTATTTTTGTTTAATTTGTCACTATCGTACTTGTTTAATTCCTTGTTAATGTTGAATTTATTCATTATATTGCTAATTGTAAAAATGATGTTTAGTAGTTAAATTTGTTTTGGGCATGAATTGACTAAAGGAATATGGGTTGACTTGTTGACCTAAAATTAGGGGTTAAAATTAATAATTTGGACTAGTTGTTTAAAATGATGAAATAGTAATTAATAATTGTTAGCCATTTTCATTAATTAAATTCTTGGAAAATTATTTCTAACTTGTCCATGAGATTAGAAAATAATTTAAGCCAACCATATTATAGCATATTAATAAGGCTTATAAATAGGATATTTTAATGAAAGAGATTTACATCTTGTCTATGAGAAATAAATTCAATTGCTTAAATAATGAGTTTAACTAGTTAATGAATTTGGCTATTCTTATTAATTTAAATATTGGAGAATTATTTCTACCTTGTCTATGAGATTAGAATTTAATTGAAGTCAACCACTTTAAACACATTAATGATACCTAGAAATAGGATAAATTAATGAAAATAGTTTCTATCCTTGTCTACGAGGAAAGAAATTATTAGTCCAATTTTAATTTAAATTTCCCTAATTACTAGGTCCAAGAATATATCCATTTCTAATTACTCAATTCATTGCCCTTCTTTGATCAATCCATTTAGAATTTAATATGTCTTTCATTTAGTTTATTTTTGAGCCATCATCAATAATTGCATAAATTTAGTTAGTCTCTTTTTCAAAAGTAGTTTAGGAAATCAATCAAAAGTTTTAATTTGGAAAGTTTCCAATGATTTGCGATAACCTGTGACTGAACTTAAAATCAAGAAACTCCTCCGCCATTCCTCAAGAGACACGATACTCGGGGGAAAACGCAAGGTTAGACTCTGTCTTACTACAACGCCGGGAAAGCGGTTATCAGTAACCGAGGGCGGTCCCGGGATAGGTGAAATGCGAACCGACCCGGCTGGTTCTGGGACCGGTTCGGGCCTTTTTTATTTTTTATTTTGATTTTTTCTGGGTTTGGGCTGAGTTTAGTTGGTCTGGGCTGGCTGTTTCCGATGGGTTTGGGGGATGGGGGATGAAATAAATTAGAAAACAAAAAAATGGAACCAGAATAGGCCCGCCCCGGAACCGGTCTACAACCAGACTGGACCCGGGCCTAAACCACAACCATCCAGGTCCGACCGGGCCTAGGCCCGACCCGGACCCGGCCCGGTCCCGGGTACATGACTAGTCCCTATCAAATTATACGTTTTTCAAAAGCATTTTTCTTAAACACTGTCAATTTCTACTATTAAACATTTTATCTAAAATAACTTAAAAATCACTTTTTAAAGTTAGAAGCAATAGTGTACCCTCCCCATAAAAGATAAAATGCAGTAATCTCGATTGCGATGATTTAGTTATGTGCTTAAATGATTGAGTATCATGTGCATAGATGATTGAGTAATGTGCACTTGTTGCACGTGGTGAGAGGTGGGAAGAAAATCCAAACAAACTGAATGATAGGGCAAGAGAGTAAAATCTAAAGAGACGTGAATTAGAGGAATCATAGGTGACATGGTTCTTCAGGGAGTGGATCATAGTATCACTTCGGAGATAGCAAAGTGAAAGGCGGTTACTCATGCGTGTGATTATTTTCTCTTTTCATTTTTTTCTTTTATCCTTTTATTTTTTCTTTCTTCGGTTTTGTATTCTTTTTTTATCATCTTTTCTTATTTTTTATTTCTTTTAAGTTATATCCTCTTTATTTTTATGTTCATTTTATCATTTTATCTTACATTTCTTTATCTTTTCATCTTCCTTAAATTTTAACCCGGATATCATGTATGCTAGTCACTCCAAAATATTCTCTTAAGATCAAGAGCCCGTTTGGTAATTCCCTTTTCGGCTTATCAATCTTATCAACCAACTTTTTAACTAAACACGTAACTCTTGGGGTCATGCACTTGATTCCGTAAGAATCAAAACAAGTAAGGTTAACGTTATTTTTCTAGTTGAATTGACTGAAGTTAATGTAAATGATCATTTAGCTACACTTTCATATATTTTTTTCTTCATTTTATTATTAAAATATATTTTAAAATTTTCTCTCTCATAAAACTGCAGTATAAGTCAATTCCATCACTTCAGCCGAAACTTCATAAACTTCAACATAATCAGCCGATTCAGCGAATTTAAGTGTAATCAATTGCATTCTAAGAGCATGTTTTGTGACCCTATTTTTCGACTTATCTCGTTTATCGGCCAATTTTTTCCGGCGCTGAATTGTGTAATAATAAGAAAAAGTAAGATTGAAGTTACTTTTATGCCTGTATTGATTAAAGTTAAGATGTTTTCTTTTGGACTAAAATTTGTTGGTCTGGTTTGGTCTAGTCTGATCTGATCTGGTCTGAACTGGTCTGGTCTGCTCTGACCTGGTCTGAACTAGTCTGGTAAACGTCTAGTCTCTGTGTATTTTATAACTACAGAAGTCTGGTCTGGTCTGATCTGGTCTGGGACTGAAAACGATCTAAAAGAAAACATCCTCATTGCAAATGATCATTTTAGCTATTTTCTCATATAATTTTTTCTTTATTTAATTAATAAACTATATTTCATTTCTCCCATGAATCGGTCGAATCAGCCAATCCAGTCACTCCAACCAACACTTCATAAATTTCAAAGTTTTTTTTAGCAAACTCGTTCAAAGTTTTTTTTTGTCCAGGAAAACAACCATGGGGGGTGTTTGGATCTGATTGTCAAAACTGATTCTGCTTCTTCAGATAGCAGAAGCAGAAGTTGGATTGTTTGGGTGAAATTCCAGAAGCACTTCTGGTGCTCTAATTTACTCTCAGAATAAGTTTTTTTAGAAGTTGGAGGGTACCGGCTTCTGAAAACTGATTCTGCTTCTGCTTTCAAAAGAACTAGTAGCAGAAGCAGTTCCACACCCATGTTTCTTTACTGATAGGGTTGCTGACAGTTCAAATTGTCACTTACCAGCCAAAAGCTTTGACACTTTGAGTAGTGGAGGAACAATTCATCGCGCGGATTGTTAAACCCTGCCAAAGAAGTGAAAGAACGTTCTGCTTCTGCTCAGCACTAAACCCTATTACTATCATTCTTCATCTGCATCGTTTTCAGCAGAACTAATGAATCGTATCGACGAATCAGACGTGGGTATATCTTGCTACATTTCTCAGCTCCCGGGCTTCCGTGGAATCCTCAAACAAAGGTGCCCCTCTCTGAAAAGATATTTGATGCATATAAGTTCACGCACTATGAGCCTTTGAATCGTCTGTAGACTTCACACTATATGCGTTGAATATGGTTAGCTGCAAGTGAATGATTCATTTTGTCACTAAAACTCGGGGGAGGGGGCTTGGGGATCAACAATTGAACCTTTGTTTGCTTGATAAAAGCGATTAATCTACTCATTGATATTGTCTATCAAACTAATTTAATACTAACTAATTTAGTAAGTGTCCTGTCTGCTGTTGAGAAATCTGGAAGAATTGGAGTTATCTGGCAATGGATGCTAATGCGATATTATTCATTGATATAGAAGTCTTTCATTATTCCTTTCCTGCTAAACTGTCCTCTAATATGCTTCCACGTGGGTTTGTCTTCCATATTGTTTGGAGAGTTCCATCTAACATATTCATGTGTACTCCATATCTACCACTAGTATTTGTAAATGGAATTTCCGAGTAACTGTAAAAGTGAAAGATCTGCTAGACTGCTAGTTTTGTTTGCAGGTATTCTGACTTCATTGTAAACGAAGTGGATCCAGAAGGCATTGTTGTTCATTTAACTTCTTTAGATGCTCCACTGGAGGTGATGTTTCACATGATTAATCATTTGATTGACTATTATGAAAAATGGAAAATAAAAATTGTATCAGTGAAATGTGAGTCTTTTGACTGTATTGTTTACTTTATGCTTACCAGCTATGTGAAGAAAAGGAGATAAAGGTAACTAATCCACCCGATAAAAGTTATGCAAGTGAGATAGAATCTTTCAGATCGCTTGCTGGTGAATCTGATGCTGATATGCTTAAAGATTTTATTGACAAAATTTGTTCCGGTGTTAATGTCAGTGACGAATACATACTGCTTTCACCGAGCTCAGATAAATCACATAGGACGGTTCGTTCTAATTAGTTACCTAGTTTCATTTCATTCATATAATCATATCTTTTTTGGTTTTGTCCAGTCCTCCACATACCAACAACGAATATGACTATATTTCAGGAGATCCATAATTTTTTCAAGGAGAGGTTGAAATTACTTGTTACAGACACTATTGATGGACCTGATGACTCTTCCAAGTGTATCCGCGTTAGGTTAAATGTTGGAGGAAATTGTGGAAGGGGTAGAAACTCCAGGAAAAGGAAGGATCGAGGTGAAAAACCCTATGATAGCAGAGGTTCAGATCATTGGCCACAAGATATTGGCAAGTTTCTGAGGTAAAGTTTGTTATGATTTTATAATGCGTATCTCATTCTCATATCTACTTCTTCTGTTCTTCCCCATTAAATGCATTTTCACATTGAAAATTGAAGTTAAATGCATTCTTATTCATGGGTCCCCAAATGGATCGGTATCTACTTCATATGGATCTAGTTATGTGACACATCATCATCACCAAGCATCTTTTGCCTTAAATTTTCTCCAGCCACGTTTTTACGGTTGTTAAACTAATCATCTTTTTCATTAACGAGTCTATCTTAAAGTCAATGTTAAAATTTGTTTATTGATTTGAACTCTATCTTACAAGATTACTATGATCATAGGGGATAGAGGCCATAAGTTCATTAAAAACTGTAATGATTTTGTGACACTCACACCATAAGGTGAGCGAACAGATCTCCTTGAAGAATGATTCATTTCTCTAGTTACATATATTACAAAGTTCACAACTTAAATCTGAACCAATCAGCTTATTATCAAATTTAAAGTACCTTTCTTATATATATATATATATATATCAGATTTTCAGATGTTATCATTATCTGTTCTATGGAATCTGGATATTCGCAGCAATATGATGAGTCTATATAGCTCCGCCATGCATAAAGTTACTCAGTTGCACTTAAACTCCTAAAGAACGTCTTCTTAAGTAGAACCATCAACATTTCAGATTTCATCTTTACAAGGAGAACAAGGATACACAGGATGCTCTGGGTCTTATTGCAAAGATGCTCGGTATTCAGGTATATGCGTTGCTTTTACCTTTGATTTATCTCCTACTTCTGGTGAAATGGCACATTTTCTCCCTCTAATGAGGTTACAAACCTTGTCCTATGCACATGTACTTAAATAGTTAGAATGAAGAAAGCAGTAATTTCTTACATATCTCTTTTTGCTTGTGGCCTTTTCATATATGTTGCAATAATTGTCATTTATTTTATTAGCTATTTTCCTTCCTGTTTCATACTACTATATGATGTGATGTTGAATGATATTACACATGGCAGCCTAGGTCATTTGGGTTTGCGGGCACAAAAGATAAGCGTGCTGTTTCGACCCAAAGGGTAAGATTTCAGCTCCTTTTTGTTTGGAATCAGTTAAAACTTATGTTCTTGCTGCCTCAGGAATCTGTTGACCAATGTTCATCATCATGTGGCACATCCTTGAGAGGTCAACCACTTAATTACAAACAACAGTCAATACAAGGACTTCCAACAGTAATGACAAGAAAAATATCCCAATTTATTGATGGGTGACCCCCTCATTTTTATAACAAGCTGACCCTTTCTTGACAAGGGGAAGGTGGATATAATGAAAAATCATTTCTATCATGTTGTTGATTTGAAATGTTCAAACTATAAGAGCAATGTCCTTGATATGCTGCAATATGATAATGACTTTATTTTAAATCAGTCATATAAGTTTTTTTCAGATTTGCCATATATAGGAGTAAAAACAACGTGAAATCCCCAAAATAGGAGTACTATGCCCCCCCCAAATAGGTGTAATCATTTGCATTCTTGCTGAGTATGATCTATGCCATTACAAATGAGTCTTCTCATTCTCATTTACTCACTGCTTGAAGCTCTTTCTTATGCGGTATATTCATCCGTCTTTCTTAGGTGACTGTTTTCAAGCAACAAGCAAGCAAGTTGGCAGCTCTCAATGAAAAGTTGATAGGAATCAAAGTTGGTAACTTTAGGTGAGCTCAATGTTATATTCATGTTTGGGCCTATAAAAGATAATTTATGTGGGGGTATGAGCATCTGTAAGATCTGGTATTGAAATGACAGCCATGCCAATGAAGGGCTTGTGCTTGGGCAGCTGTTTGGGAACCGGTTCACAATTACATTGAGGTACAATCGAATCCATTTTCTTTATGTCCCGTATTCAACTATTCATGTAAAACAGTGCATTGTATAATGGATAATGATATATACAGGAAAAGGGTTACCTAAGAGTTCATGGAATGGTAAAGTTATCTCAAATTTGCCCTCAAGTGATTAAGTGGGGTAGGATAATCTTGGAGTAAAATCGGTAAATTTGAGATAATTATACCATCCCATGACCCATTTCTTAGCCCTTCCCAGCTCCTACAACTGTCCTTGTATTGTATTTTCTTCATCATATGACATTGTATGCAATGTATATAACTGAGATCTATATACTTCTGTGCAATACACACACAAATGAGTCATATATGTGTGACTGTGTAAGTTTGAAAAGTAGACACATCATATTTGTTGGCATACATGTCTTGTTTTGCTTGAAGAACGCCTAATGGTGATATACTTGTCTGATATTATGGTGACATCGCATGTCCTTTTATATATGTTTACAATTGAAGTGCATCTTTTTGCAGGGGAGTTGTTGCAGAATCTGATGATATTATAAAAGCATCTGCGACTGCACTAGGAAAGAATGGTTTTATTAACTACTTTGGGCTGCAGGTACTTTAATTCTGATTCCAATTATCTGTCTGTCTATGGGTGACTCTTTCAATAACGCAAAATATATGATAAATATTTAAGTCATTTTCACTTTTTAAAAACCTTAGTTAAATGGCATCAACGTGCAATAATTGTCTCATTTTTTGTTACTTCTAACATAATCATTATGTGAAAATGGATTTAGAGATTTGGAAGCGGATCAGTGCCAACTCATCTCATTGGAGCTTCACTACTCCGTGGAGAGTGGAAAGCAGCTGTCAACATGATTCTAGATCCCAGAGATGGGGATATCCTTTAACATTCCACATCATATGGCATATCCAATTTTTAATCTGCTAATCCAAACCAATGTTACTTGACACTTCCCTAACAGAAGTAGGGTTTGAGGAGGGTGAGATGTACAGACTTATCTCTACTCCTAAGAGGCTGCTTCTTTAAGGACCTGGCTGCATAGCAAAATCTTTCGAAAGCTTTGGAAGATGTTATTTTTTTTATATATATTAAAAAAATTTAAGATATAAGACCTCAAAGGGTGAAAGATAGTGTGGGTAATCTGGTAAAAGCTGTTTGGGCAATAAAGCAAAGCAATAAATCAGCATACAACGTCTTCAAGAGTATAGTAAAAAACATCTTCAAGAGTATAATACATGTAGGTAAAAAGGCTAGATCACTATCGTTTTTCAGTTAGATCATTAAAACAAATAAGAAGTGGTTTTAAAATTGTTGTTGCTAATTTTTAAAAATCAACGTTGTAACATCCAACCCCTCACAGGTTGGTCATGGTTACTCTTAACTGCTTTCTAGGCTCGATACTGACCCGACAAATCAACACATATTTTTCCAATGCACTTTGATTTCACTCATGCGTATTCTTAAAAAGTTCACAGGAGATCTATCATCCTAAGTCTTCTCCCAACAAGCCACTTAACTTTAAAGTCCTTGCCAAATGAGTTTCCTTAAAACTTTAAAAGAAGTAACAGTGTGTTGGTACGATTAGTACTTTGAAGCTCATCTCTATTTTCATCTCAACTCGGGTTTTTGCAAATACATCCACTTAGACAGCTTATAACCCCCCACCCCCGCTAGGTGGGTTGACCCCCATCCCTATTGAAGAGTTGCTTTAGTACCATGTGTAACACGCCTCCACAACTCACACGTTTTAAGTGGTTACTATTGGCTGCTCTTTAGGCTCAGTATTGTTCCTACAAACTACCACTTAATTTTGAGTTCTTTACAGATGTGCTCTCGTAAAAGGTGAAACATATTATTTGTAGGAGTAATACTTTTAATTATTTTTAAAGTGTTTTCTATTCTCAACTGAACTTGGTTTATTAGAAACATGCTTTGTATATACGTAGTATATAATTACACTTTATGGCTTAATATAAAACTTTTATGTATAAATTTTAAAATCATAAAACAAAAAAATGGAAATTAAGTGCGACACCAAATTGGCTCCAAGTAAGCAGGTAAGGGAAGATATTGCATTCCCCATTCTTCTTCTTAAATGAGATAACACGTTATTTCAATAAGTATGTATCTTGTCAACTTAACTCTGGAACACAGAAGGAAGCCATAAGTACAATAAGGGAATATTACAAGGAGAGTGGTGATATTGATGGAACTCTACGGCAAATACCTCGCCATATGGTAGCTGAAAGGGCCATTGTAAGTTCTAAAGTATATCCTGCATTTATCAAGTTTTATTCATCTAGCTAATATAAGCTAGTTTTATTATGCAGTGATCCAGTTATGGATTATTTATTAAGTTGTGCTTCATGTTTGCTTTCAATGTTTCCCCAGCTGCAATGCCTGAAGAAAAACCAAGCAAACTATTTACAAGCTCTTAAGGGTATACCTAGGACCCTTAGAATGATGTAAGTAACTGAGCCAGAACTTTAATTTTCAAATTCTTTTAGCTCTTAAAATTATGTTTACACTGATTTTAACAATGTTTTTCCAAATTTCTTGAGAGGAGTACATTTTTTAAAGAGTAAAAATTCTGAACTGTTAATGGATATATTTTCTCGGAATTTGAAATGAACGCATACAGGAGTCAGTCATTATATGGTTGCAACTCTCTGTGCCCACAACCTGCTTTCTACATTCTACAACTAGTTATCCTGCCACTAAGCAACAGTAACTCACACACTCCTGCTCAATAGCTAGAAAGTCCGTGTCTACACTTGAATAGGCTACTGTACTGATATGGAAAGAAGAAGCCCATTATTACTATCATCATTATTATTATTAGTTTCCTAAAGTATTAGGTGTTAGTTTCCTTGGGTTATTATTAGTCGCAGTTTCCTATTAGTAGAGATATTCCATTTTAGTTAATTTCCTAATAAAGTATTGTAATAGAATTAGGGTTACTCTATGATTAGAACACCAAGTCTCTTGGGACTAGAGGTGCCATATTAATGAATATGATCATCAATCTTCTGGAGAATAATTCTTCTTGTGCGCTTGGTTGAACTGACGGACACTTCCTTGCCTTGGGCGGGAAGCTGTGTTGTTTTTCCAACTATCATACTTATCGTTCTTCTTCTTTTTTATCTCCCAATCACGCCCGTAACATATACATTTTCTCTTGTTTTACCCAAGCTATAATTTTTGTGACCCAACTCCCCTTTTTAATCAAAAGTCTGGCTTGTGTCTTTTTTATCACATTGCAATGTTGGAATAGGTTACAATCCTAGACATAAAAGGAAATAATGAACTTGCTGAAATTAATAGAAGCAAGAAGGAATGAAAGAGTAATTGAGTTGCAGGTTGTTAGCAATTGATTTGTGCCCCAGTTGTAACTCATCCCAGATTCCTCCCAATTTGTCTTGTGAAACTACTGATGTTCTAACTTTCTAAGAATATTTGAAAATTCAATGGTTGAAATTGGTCATATCCTAGGAATTTTGTTGTTGGCGGCTTGGCGCAGACAAGTTTGGTGCCCATCTCGCTGTCTGTACTTCTCTCCAGAATTGATCCATTGATGTTCATGAACGCACATTTACTCTTAGCTCGTCAGCATTGTTTTTAGCTCCACTGCTTATTCCATGCCATTTTTCACTTGATTATTTTAATCTATTTGTTGACTTCGTAGGACAAAACTGAGGGGGAGTGAGAGTTAGATCAATTGAATTAACCTTGTGTCGGTTCATAGCGGCTTTTTATTTATAATTTATATAAGTTTTCTTATGCTAAATAAGCATGTTTTACTTATGTAGTATGTTTACTCCAACGACATTAATAATCTCACCGTGTGTCTAGCGGCAAAGTAAACATGTACTACCTATGTTCTCTTTTAGTTGCAACATTGGTGATTTTGCAACATTGGTAAACTCACAGTGTGATTTTTTTGCCTTTTCAATCTATTGGATTGTTACTCTGATGTGTCAATGTATGTATACTTATTTATGTCGCCTGAGCTCTGCAACTAATGCACTCACCCACTCATGCTTTCCTTTAATAATCTCTTTACTAAACTTTAGTAATTTTTAATTGCGTAATAGAGGATCGTTTGTATTTTTGTGCCTTTTTTAATTTTGCACCTGATGTGTAAAAGGCACATACCCAGGAAGCGCCCATCCCATGGTTTCAGCTTGTGCCTCGGGCCCTAAGGACCCTTTTTCGTCCCTCGCTTTTGATAACACTGGTGACTGGCCTATAATTCTGCATTGCAGGTATGTACATAGTTATCAAAGTTATCTTTGGAACCATGCAGCAAGCTTCAGGGTGCAAAAGCATGGTATGTGGATTACTGACTCACTGGCCTTAAGCCCTATATACAATTTCAACTACTTTTTCTCAATCCACATCTCATGGTGATTTCTCCAGACCTGGCTACTTGGAACTTGGGAGAGACTTGGTTTTTCAAGTGGTTGTTTTCCTTTTCTGTCGTGTAGGGTTCGACCAAGTTGCAGTGGGTGATTTGGTGTATTGCAAGAAAAAAATTACTGGAAATGAAGCATCCTACTTTGAATTTGAAGATGGTAGTGGAAATGACACAAATGATAACACCAACCTAGAAGAAATTTCCGAAACTGATGTTCCTGAAGAAAGAAATATTTTAGTTAAGGTAGATTATTGGCACTGATTTGAATTCCTTAAACTAATATTCCGTGGAAGCAATTTTGAATAAAGAGAATTTGATGTAGCTTAAGTTTTAGCTGATTGTGCATTAGATGTCACTAGAATACTTGGATACATGTAACATCATGATCTCTGATAGGTCCAGATGAATACCAAGTATCCATGTATCCATGGATAAGTTTTACCCGAATGAACGGCATATGCCAGCTGGGTGTAGTTACTTCACTCATATATTAATGAGGTGTTAAGCAGATAAAAAATTATGCAATGTAGTAGAGGAGTATTCCTCATACTTTGATGGTACCAATACGTCTTGTCCACACTTCACATGAGTCGGAATAAAATGTTTTCTGAATAGTGATTCATCACCATGTCCTTGTATGCTATCAGCTACCAAATATGATGTTGGGATTTTTCAAGTGGCGAGTCCTTGTGTTAGTTGTGTATGCTATGGGACATGATGCAGGTGACATGTACTTTTATAGTGCCAACTAAGATATATGAGTCAAAGCATAATGGCTAAATTTGCCCGAATGAATATATGATAAATTCTGCCAGGCAGCCAATATGAAGTTTGAGTACATTGTAGTTCGATTCGTACCAACTAGTTTCACGTTATCGTTGATATGAAATACTGACCTGAGATATAAATAATGGAGGAGACATTTGAAGGGTCAAAAGAACTGAGTGTTAGTGACTGAAGTCAGAAGGTGTCTCTGTATGTCTATGACTTGATGTCCATTCGATATACTTGAGTTGCATTACCGATTAATTTAAAGTAAGCTGATAAGAATGGTAGCTACATTTGGACAGGTTGTGAATGAAGAAGATATAAAATCAGGAACTTATTCAGTTGATGATGTTGTCCTTCCATTGCCCGGGTAAGGATGACGAATACAACATTTACATGGTTGTGATTTTTGTTGAAGTTATAATGTGATGTAGCTCACATTGGATATCATTTTTTATTGTAGGTCAAGAGTAATTTATCCATCCAATGACATTTCAAAAGTTTATCATGACCTAGCAGAAAAGGTATAGTCTGTTCATCTGCATAGTTCAGCAATTTAATGCATTTTACCTGCTTGCTCTCTGTTGTGCTCATATTTCAATCATACTATCTTGTTTTTGTTTGAAGTTGTCAAGAAAGAAATCAATCTTGTATTAGAATACTGTGTTTACAAAGATAACAAGATCAGAATGTACATAATACTACAATATACTATAGTCCATAGCATTAAATGTAAAGGCTGAGGAGGAGACTTTAGGTCTGCCGACTTGGGTGGCTGTATCCTATCGGCTGCCATGTTGTAAAAATCAGCGTAAATAACAGTCTAGTGTCCTAGGTGCTAAATGCCCCTAGGACAAAGCGAATTGTGAAAAGTCACCTTCTACAGGCGCTTAGCCGAGTAGGGGATTGTAGGCTTTAACAAGCATTTTATTCATAAACACATTTTTAGGTATTTTTTTGTCAAAATAGTAGATATAATTTACTATAATATAATATTGATTTATTGTGTACGTATTGCTCCATCCTACCCACAAAACTTTGTCAACTCTACTTATTTGGTTGTCCCAAAGAGTTTGCCATTTTCCTTTTAAAGCAACAATTTTATGGTTATTATCTTTCTCTACTCTGCACAACTCAACCACATGTTTTTTACGTTCTTATTCCACATGCCGGTAAAACTTGGCCAAGTGTAGTGAGACGGGCAAAGTATAATTTTATGCCCCTTAGGCACTAGCCTAACACCTGATGGATGCCTAGCAATTTCTACAACTTTTTAGGTATTAGGTAATGTTCTAAATGTGACGAATTCATAACGTGATATGGGTCACTTCAACTTCTAAATTTTGTTATGCATCTTAAGACCCAAGTCATCTTCCATCATTTGCAATGGAGCCAAAGATTCATTATTTTTGGCTTGAGAATATGATGGAATAAAGCAAAATGGCTCACTAAACTGTCTGGGCTTCTTTGTTATGAAGCAGCAGTCAGTCCATGCAATTTTGGACGCAATTTTCACTATGGGTCATCCGGAAACAGGGGTAAGACTGCGTACATCCGACCTCCCCTTACTCCACCGTAGGTGGGAGCCTTTGCGGCACTGGGGTAAATGAAAATGAAAATGATCTTAAGACCCAAGTCAATCACAAAAACTTGTGTCGGAGACTCTGAGCAACACTTGCTGAATGCAATGGCAAGTGTTGGACCAGCACTAATTGAGCATCCGTAAGTTTTGACAACCTTGGTACAAATAAATTAATCCATACCCTTTGATACCCTTACTTATTCATTTCTCCTACGAGTATTATATTTATACTACACAAAAACTTGTGCCTGAGACTGAGCAACACTTGCTGAATGCAATGGCAAGTGTCGGACCAGCACTAATTGATCATCCGTAAATTTTGACAACCTTGGTACAAATAAATTAATCCACACCCTTTGATACTTGACTGTCATTATCTCCTACATAAGTGCACACTATGCCAAGAAAGAGGGATGCATCATACTAGCTGATCCAACACTATCCAATTTTAAATTTATTGCCTTCCAAGGCTTCAACAAAATGAGAATTAATGTATAAGGGATGAGAACAGACACATCATTAATATATGCAAACCAGGTTATCATTTCCTATCTGCTCTACCACTAGTTGGCGCTGTGTATTCCCTAAATATCCGCTTTTGCGTGCATGTAAAAGTCAGTTTTCTTTCCTGGGCAGGATGGCATCAAATTAACGGAGTGTGTGCACAATGTCAAGTGAGTAACATTAGGCTTCTAACTTATTTAAGATGTAATGAGTTAATGTTTTTATGAGCTGTTCTATACTTACTTTCCAATACAAAACAGAATACTATTTTGTACACGCATACCAAATCGGTTACCGTTACAACATGAATAATAGGGCCCCTGGGCTGTAGAGACTAATAAATAGTAGTCATAGTTTGATATTAAATAAGTATGGTATTGTTTAAACTTTAAATAAGAATCCTGGGCCATGTCTTAAAAGGTGGGCTGGCCCGTTAGTATATAATAACTATAAGAATGGGAAGGGGAGAAGAGGGTGGTTAGGCAGAAATTGGGATCTGGACTGGGACCTGGGAGAGACCGAGGCACTCTCGAATTTGCCTCAACTGTATCGTTTCTTTTCAGTTCTTCAATTTCAGTGTTCATATTCAACAATTTCATCGCCAGATTTGCCTGGTCCTATCATTGGTATCAGAGCAATCGCTCCTGGAGCCTGAATCGATCATCAGCTTCTACAACCTGGAAGATATTTGAAGAAGAGTATGGAAAATAGTTGGAAGGAGTTGTGCTATATGTTGCGCAAACTTCGTCACCGCCAGAAGAGACATAGAGACAGAGCTAGGAGCCCTCCTAGACACCGTCGGCCGATTGAAAATAATCAGGTGTCTTTGTCCTTCGCTCTTCCTAGTTCGCAATCGCGAACTGCATCGCGTAGTTCGCAGACTTCCTTCGCAAACAGCTGCATCCAGTTCGCAGGTTTATTCACTCGCGGATTATCATAGCTCGTCATTGCAAGCAACTTTTCTCAGTCCGCAGGTTTCTTCGCGAACATCTTCTCCTAGTTCGCTCTCGCGAACGGACTCTCCTTGTTCTCACTCGCGAACCGACTCTCCCAGTTGGCACTCGCGAACAGTCTCTTCCAGATCATCGTCGCCAATAGCTAGCCTCAGTGTGAATCCGTCGCTAGCCACTGCTTCAAGTTCGAAATCGCAAACAGCTTCTGGGTGTTCACAGGTCTTTTCATCTTCATCGCTAGCAGATTCTGTCCCTATCAGTTTGCAGAGTGTAACACGATCAGGTGGAGACTCTAAATGGCTGCGAGATCCCTATGCGAGCCCTAGTACCACGCGAGACAGAGGAGAAACCATCAGTTCGCATGCTACATCATATGAGAAGAGTATGTCCAGTAACATAAATCATATCTGCCCAGGAAGGGAGATTACTCTGCCTATATCAAAGTGTGATTATCACTTGGTCCCTGAGAACATTATTAAGGCTGGTCTACGGATTATTGAAAAGCCTGGAAAGGAAAATGTGTCCATGCTAATTCCAAATTCTCAAAAATACTTGAATGGAAAGGCATGCGATGAAGAGAGATATGCATTGGTGTTAGCCTCTAAGAGATTCAAGGAGTCTGAGATGCTTAAAGACAAATTCATGAATGGATTAAAGGAAGAGATTAGAGTTGAGTTAAAACTATTGCATTCCAGAATTCTGGCAGAGTTAAGGGACATGGCACTGATTTTCGAAGTAAACTTTGAAGAAGCTGGTATACACATGGATGGCTTTGACGTAGTTTGGCCACCATGGAGAAGTAAAATTGTCTCAGGATATCAGTTAATTGCAATGTCACAGATAACTCATGAGCAGGAGCATCCAGATGCTTCATTTCTTCTACAACCTTTTGAAGTGCTGAACTGTCCCTCAAGTTTGGTTCACATCAAGCCTCATGTAGAAGTCAACTCATTCCATAAACATTTTGCTACCTGTGATTTCTTATCTGAGGTGAAGGTCACATACCCAGTTTTATCGCTTACGTTGGCTACTGTATCTGAGGATTACATGTTTGGCAGCAGCTCTGGCTCTGAGGAAACAAGATTTCACTTGATCACTGAAACAAAAACTAAAGTTTCCCTTCCTCAAAGTGGTGCTGGTCTCTCTAGCTCAAGATCTCCGGACAGCTCACTTTCTGTTAAGGCACCTTTGGATATTAATCAAAGCATGGGGAACCTGGAAGGTGGAGCCTCATACCAAAGTGGGGAAGGATTTACTTTGTTCGAGACCAGAGATGGACACATTATTGTAATGGATAACAGCACCGGTAGTATCATCAGGATTCCTCCAGGACATTCAGAGAAAGATACAGCTCATTCTGTATTTTCAAAGGTGTTTACTGTACTTCTAAAGCTGTGGAGTTCTCACCTTACATCTCTTGAGTATGGAGTTGGAGGTGTGCAACCCATGAACTACCGGTTAATGCCTAAACACCTCTTATTTAAAGAAGAGGATTTACAGAAGCAGAAAAAAGGTGCAGCTAAGGCCATGCAAGATTTATATGATGTGATGCACTGGGATGTCCTCATTTTCATTTCATTTTCATTTACCCCAGTGCCGCAAAGGCTCCCACCTACGGTGGGGTAAGGGGGGGTCGCATGTACGCAATCTTACCCCTGTACTAAAGCGCAGAGAGACTGTTTCCGGATGACCCATAGTGAAAATCTCGTCCAAAATTGCATGGACTGACTGTTGCTTCATAACAAAGAAGCGCTGACAGTTTAGTGAGCCATTTTGCTTTATTCCATCATATTCTCAAGCCAAAAAATAATGAATCTTTGGCTCCATTGCAAATGATGGAAAATGCACTGGGATGGAAAATGCACTGGAAAATGAAGGAGCGTCATGAAACAGGCGAGGAGTTGTTCAAAGATAAGCAGGAAGATAGTTTATTCCAGAAGTTGAAATGGCCAAGAGATGTGGAGTTGAAAGGGCTCATTCTTCAAGCTTATTTAGAAAGGGTATCTACTGGAGATTATGAAGCTACAATTTCAAGGAGTTTGGCAAAGGATTTCCTCTCTCTCGGTTTCATTCCTAAAGGAGCTAATTTAAAGTCAGTTGCAGATGCCCTGCAAACATCAATTGGTGATGGCAGAAGACAATCCCAGGATTTCCAGTTTATAATGAATCCGTTATTTGTGGTTATGCACGAGTTCAACTTCTCTCTTTCTCATGACTATGTATTGGTGATACGAGCTTTAGGATTACTTGAAGGAGCTGCAAATGTATGGGATCCTGAATTCAAAGTGGTGGAGAGTGCATATCCATGTGTGATTGGAGGGTGCATATCTAGGAGACTATTGAGAAAACTTAGATCTATAATGATGAATCACTCAGGTGGAATCTGCTGGAAGGACGGGTTGCATCACTATCAAAACATATAAATGCTGCACATGGAGATGCACAACACAAAAAACATTTGTCGTTATTGAGTGCTTTAAAGCCACTGAAGAGACTGCGACTTCACTAGACTTATCTTTGGCTGCAGTAACATTTGTGAGGTGGGGGGATGAAGTACAGAAACTCGTGGTTCAGAAATCCGGGAGATATTGGGAAGGAAGAGGCTCCAGGATGAAGATGATGTTCAAGATCAAGGCTGTGTTCTATCACCCACCTTGAGGACAAGGTAGTTTTTCAAGGGGAAGATATGATAGGGCCCTGGGCTGTAGAGATATTAAATAAGTATGGTATTGTTTAAATAAGAATCCTGGGCCATGTCTTAAAAGGTGGGCTGGCCCGTTAGGATATAATAACTATAAGAATTGGAAGGGGAGAAGAGGGTGGTTAGGCAGAAATTGGGATCTGGACTGGGACCTGGGAGAGACCGAGGCACTCTCGAATTTGCCTCAACTGTATCGTTTCTTTTCAGTTCTTCAATTTCAGTGTTCATATTCAACAATTTCATCGCCAGATTTGCCTGTGTCTATCAATGAAGTACTCCCTCCGACCCTATTTCACTGTCCACTTTATCCAAAGCACATTGTTATGATTTCACATTTTCTGCTGCACTGATCTTAAGAAAATCAGATTGATTTGCAAATCAATCACAACTTATCTGATTCTCGGACACTATCATACTACCAAAATTACCCTTATTTATCAATTCATAAACTTTTAGAGTTCAATATGGCATATTAAAGTTTAAGAATGGGTAGTATTGGGAAAAATTATCAATACACCATGTATTTGCTAAATAGATAACATAAAAAGGACCGCAAAAATCTTAAAATGGTTGACATATAATTTAGGACAGGAGGGAATAGTACGTTCTAGATGGTTCCAACAAGTGATCCATATGAGATTTTCAAACTGATAAATTCTTCAACCATGTTTGCTTCCATTTGTAAATTTTTATTCATTTTGATCTGGAAAAGCGCTCTTGTCCTGCTCTCTTGCAAAAACATTTTCATCACATCATTATTTTTTATCTGGAAAAGCCCTCTTGCGTGAGCGCCTGATTATGAAGTATCTCTTTCATGGGTTTTTATTGCTGCTTTGGTACTTGTATGCATTGCTCTGAATGATGTTATAACTTTCTGCAGGGAATTTTCAATAACCAATATGACCGGTAGTTATAGGCGTGTTTTCCAAAAACCAATAAAGTTTGAATGGTAGGATCTCTTTCACACAATATGAGTGTAACTATTACTTGTTCTTAAATGTTTCTAGAAGTTGTATCTTTAGTTATGGTACAAGGTATTTATAACCCTTGCAGGGAATTGCTTTCTTACACTGATGGTACACAACCTCTGGTAGAAACAGATTGGGATGTTATTGCCAAATCATTGCAGACTAGCCAAATCAAGGGTTCAGAATCATCAAGAGTTGAGGAAGCTCCAATTGGTATTAGAACAGAGTCGATGAGCGTCGAAGTTGAGAACAAACATGAACAGAAACCAGGTGCAGAACCTGAAGATGGGGATAATATTAAAAGCAGAGGAGTGTCAAAATCTGCGGAATATTTGGATAGTTCTATTTCTCAGGGAAGTCAAATGGCTCTCAAAATGAGCTTTACCCTGCCTGCTTCTTGCTATGCAACCATGGCTGTGAGGGAGCTACTGCGAACATCTACTTCTGTACGTATTCTTTTAAACTGCCAAGCTTTCTGAAGATCACATTTTTATTTGAGTTCTGAAACTGGGTTTCGAGTAGAAAGTGGGCAGACTGGCCTTTTTCTTAGAAAATTAAATAATTTCGTACATGATATATTCCGTGGTGGATTTATGAGTGCACCCCCCACTCTTCCTGATCAAAGAAGAAAAGTAACTGCCCAAGGTTGCGTTCGAAGTGCGCCCTTATAATGTCAAATTGGGATATGCAAAGTATACAAATTTGTCTATTAAAAACGGTTGTCGTTCACTTCCTGCCACTTGGCATTGAGGACTTGAGGTATCTGGATTGGTGCTAAATTGCTAATCAAAGTGATATGAAATAATTCTTATTCTACTTCTTTGTGTGGATATTAACTCGTGTGCTAGTTCCTTAGCTATTATTTCCCTTTTGCAGGTTGCATATCATAAGTCATTGAATGAGTCAAAAGAAAATCCACTGTTATGAAGACGTCCCTACCCATATTTCAACTTTTGGGTAAGGTATTGTGCAAGGGAGAACACTCACTTGTAAACTGCTTGAAGCCAAGGATAGAATTAGAAGATAAAGTATTTGTTAGTGCTGAAATTGTATGCAAATGGCGAGGTTCTATTGCAAATGCCTTGTTAACTGGGGGGGGGGGGGGGGGTCTTTGCAGTCTTAGAATCTTTGTAGTGATTGTAGTTGCTTCACCTTTCATACTTCAGAGTGTAACTGAGTTCTTGTTTTTAATTTTTAATTTAAAATTAAATATGAAGGAATAGTGTCTTTGACCCATTAGGGCAAATAAATATGTTCACTTTTCTGATAAATCAAGGTTTGTCTAGGAGGGATACCTCGCTGCTTTAAAATTTTAATGCATGGCCATACCTTAGAATTTCAATGTATGCCATAACCTGATCCTTCTCACGTTGAGAATCTCAACACATAAGTGCAACACTTTCCTTTTTCGGCAGTTTCAAATTAAATGCAACATTTCCATTTTGGGAAGGAAATACTAAACCAATTGACTTCTATACTCCTAATTATTTCCACCATCAGAAACTTTCTTTTACTTTCTGCAACCCACCACCCCCACCCACCCATTTCACTCCTCTGTACAACCTCTTCTTCCGTCTCAGTATTCTCCATCTGCTCACCCACCATAATCAGCTTTCATCACCTACTTAGCCATTTCTACTGTCAAAATGGAAGATATGGATGGGGAGATGAAATCGATTGTTTTGTTCAAGATGAAATCAATTTTGCGCCCGTTATGAGAATACGCTTGAGACTTGGTGTGAGTCGATCAAGAAGATAAAGACCATGGAATCTGATTAGACTTGGAATCTTTGTAACCAGCCTTGGCGCGCGGACCACTTCAGTACTTGAAAATCAACATGTACTTCGACGGACCGTTTCTGAAAGGGAAAGTAGGTTGCGAGAATCATCTAGCCTCTCGTTTCTCAGCTCCTCCTGTTGTTCTTCAGTGAGGGAAATTTGTGGACTTTTGGTGGTTGTAATCTATTTGTCAACTATTACACACTGTATCACTTTATTTGTGGAACTCTTGTTTCCGTATAAAGAAGGGTAAAAAAGTCAAGTTAAACACCTTCTCCTTGCCTCTTAAAATCTGTGCCCAAGTGCATGTTGCACTTAAAACCGAACAGATGAAGTAGGCATGGACCCGGTTCGGGCCGCCCGGCCCGGGACCGGCCCGGCCCGGGACCGGCCCGGGACCGGCCCGGCCCGGGACCGGCCCGGCCCGGGACCGGCCCGGCCCGGGACCGGCCCGGCCCGGGACCGGCCCGGGACCGGCCCGCCACTGTGCGGGCCCGGAACCGGCCCGGTTCTCGGGTCCGGGTCCGGGTCCGGGTCGGGCCTAGGCCCGGTGGGGGGGTCGGGTCCGGGCTCGGGCCTTGTATTTGGTGAACCGGCCCGGCCCGGCCGGGTCGGGCCCGCGCCCGGGCCGAATTGATTTTTTTTTTTTTTATTTTTTTTTTTCATTTTTTGGGGTTAGCTGGGTTGGGCTTGATGGTTAGGAGGGGTTTGGGGGGTGGGGGGGTGAGGGGGGGGGGGGGTTAGGAAAGCAAAAAAAAAAAATTGACCGAACCGGAGGCCAGGCCCGATCCGGCCCGGACCCGGTGGCTACCCGGGCCGGTCCCGGGCCTTCCTTCCCAAAAAAAAAGCCCGGCCGGGCGCGACCCGAAACCGGAACCGGCCCGGGTCCATGCATAAGATGAAGTATATTGTAGTGAATATTAACAGATAGTTTAATGGATGAACTCATTCATATTCCAGTCCCGATTCTGGACTAGTCTAGTGGTGGACTCGAGCCGGGTGGCCCGACCTGGAACCGGCATTGTTCCGGCCCGGCCCGACCCGGTGGCCTGGCCAGTGACCGGTTCGGGTAGGCCCGACCCGAGGGGTTTCCGGTCCGGGCTCGGGTCACCCAAAACATGAACCGGCCCGGCCGGTCCGGGCCCGGTTCCGTTTTTTTTTCCAACTTTTTTTTTAAATCCTCGGGTTGGGCTGGGTATTTTCGGCCATTTGGGTGGTTTGGGGGGTTGGGGGTTAGGGGGGTCAGGGGGTAATTGGAAAAAAGGAAAAAAAAAATGTAGGAGGCCCGAAGCACGGCCCGGCCCAGACCCGGTGGCTCCCTGGGCCGGTCTCGGGCCCAACATTTTCTAACTAGCGGCCCGAGTCTAACACTAGACTAGTCTATTTCAGGGTCCAAATGAGGGTTGGACCGGTACTGTGTCCGCCAACCGGGACCGTGAGGGGGGGGGGGGGGGGTATTGGGGCGGGCTACGGCCTACGGGTCAGCATTTTGGTGCACCGGCCCGGTCGGTTCGGGTGCTAGCTGGGTGGTTTGGGGGGGGGGGGACAAATAAGATAAACCAGAGAAAAATATATATACAAGACCCGACCTGGTCCTGGTCCCGGAACCTACCCGGGCCGGTACCGGGCCTCCACTTCCCAGACCACCGTCCCGCCCAAGGCCCGAACCCGGACCCGGACCCGGTCCATCCCTAGACCTAATGAGGCTTATTTGTAACCGAAATCGAGAATTGCTCACACATGTATAGTTTAGTCGGACAATACAGGTCCTTTCCCTAAAAAGTGCTTTCTACTACTATTTTTGCAAACGCTTTCTACTATTTTTAAAAAGTGTTACAATACGCTTTGGGTGCGTTGGGTGAATGGAGTTTACCTGAAGGAAAGAAATGTGTGGGACTTTGTCCCACACGCCCGGGACTCTCAGCTAATAAAGCGTTTAAGTCTCATTCGAGATAAAATTCGGGGCTGTTTTAATAATTTAAATGATACGATTCTTGGCCTAAATGCGCGGTCTATGAATGGGAAATTAACCTCCGCGAAAATTTATGAGTTATTGAGAGTTAGGGGCAATGCTAGGACTCCTATGAGTTTCATATGGAAATCCTACATTCCCCCCAAACTATCTTTCAATGTATGGTTGGCCTTAAGAAACCGGCTTCCTACTCAGGATAGTCTCGGTTATCTACACATTGTGAATAGGTGTGACCTTTGTAAGGGTGGTTTGGAAACAATACCACACCTGTTTTTTCGGTGTCCTTTTACGTGTAGGGTATGGGAGAACATAAGGAATTGGTTGGGACTCGGGCATGAGATGACGACTTTGCTAAGTGCCATAAAGTGGATCATGAAGACCCACAAAGGATCGACGCTGAGAGCAAAAGCAGTCCGGATGGCTTTCTGTGCCACGGTTTACTATATCTGGCATGTAAGGAATGAGCTACATTTTGATGGAGGAGTGAAGACAGAAGCTGATGTAATTTCAAAGATCAAGCATGTGGTGTATAAGATCTTATATAGCTTATACCCATATGACTTGATTACCTTTTGATGGAAGAATGGGGCTACCACCGTAAGGCCGCGGCTTCTTGGCTCGGGCACTGACCAAGGGTGTGCCGAGGCATTTTTTGGGGCTTTTCTTATGATCTGTTTTGATTGAACTTATTAGATCTGTGTGCGTGCATATTGCATCACCGATTGTTTTTTTTGTTTTGACTGGGCATTTAGTATTGTATACTTAGGCCCATTTGATTTTGGTGTTTGTTTAAGATCGAATAAAAACCTCTTCTAACCCCTACACTAGGTAGGGGTGGGGGGTGGGGGGGGGGGGGGTTAGGAGATCTAAAACCCACTGATGTATAATTCTTGGGTGTCAATATATATTTACATTTCATCAAAAAAAAAAAAAAGTGTTACAATACAAAGGATTATAGAAGAAGTGCTTCTCAAGTTCTTCTTGCTTCAAAAGAATTGAAAACGATGCAACCTTAATATAATAATGATCACTAAAAGGAACCATGCGCTAAAATGTTACCTCGTATTTCCTACTATCTTCACGTATCTATCTATACTAATCAAAATATGCTCTAAAATGTTATCTATCTATTCTATTAAATACTTGTCTCACTCAGAGCCGGTTATAAGCCCAGTTTAGGTAGGCATTTGCCTAGGGCCTCACATTTCTAGGGGCCTCAAAAATTAAAAATACTTGTATTATGAATAAGGGTAATTCTAAATACAGCCCATTATTTACTATATACAGCCCCTAATCAGATTAAATGTCTATTACATCCTTAATATTGCTAATCTGTTATGGAAACGAACGATATAACGGAAGCACGAGACCAAGTTCAATGGCAGGATAACCTTCTCTTCTCATGTCCTTGAAGGGAATGAAGTGGCCCATGGCACGCACGGGTGATGAGTTCCATCAAATGGCAAATCTCTCTTTTCTCGCATAAAATCTTCAAGAACGTCGTCCGGAAATGGCCTCACAAAATTGTTGTTGCTTAAGCAAGAAAGCTTCCGCTGTGATTGCGAGGATGGAAGAAAACCGCCGTTGTGATTTGCAAGAAAATTGCAGCTGTGATCGTTGCTTGGATTCCCAATTTCCCATATTTGTTTGGTGTAATCTTTTGTTTATCCGAAGTGGCAAAATCATAAGTTTAAACCCTCCGTTTCCTTGTTCGTAAATCAATAATTGTGGTATTCGGTTATTGTTGAAGAAACCTCCAAACTGTGACTCGCTAGCTTCATGGTCCGAGATAAGTTTTTGACAGAGAGCTTTTTTAACTTTAATGAGAAAGCTGGAAAGAAGAAAGGTTGTGGAAGAAAAGCTTACTACGAAATGAGAAATGCTCAAAACAGGGAAGGTCGTGACCCAAAGTGAAATAGAAGATCGCCCATCACAGTTTATAATGATAGGGATATAATTGACAATTAATTAAATTAGAGGTTGTACTTAGTAAAACGTAGGCTGTATTTAGAATTACCCTATGAATAATTAGCTTAGGTTCTTTTGGTTTGGACTGGGGCAGGGAGAAGGATCAAGGATGGGAGTTTATTCGATCAAGCTCGTGAACTCGTTTTGCTTTTTTTATTCGATCTGTCTGTTTGCATCTGCTCCTGTTAGTACGTAGTACTACGTATTAGAAACGGAAAGACTAGGCAATCTCCAATACCATTTTCCCAATTCCCTAGACTTCAAATACCGAAACAACCATCAATAAAAAAATGCCCAAATCCCTCCTATTCCTAAATCATACGTAGTATTGCGCAGTGACTCAATGAAGTTCAGCCAGTTGCCAAACCATACTAAGAGGAATAGAGAAACGCCGGTGCATCAATACTAAGGCAACACCAACAGGCGAGCTGGACAGCGCAACCGCAGGCCGTCTTATACTCTTCGTTATGTGTGAGTTTTTTTTGACTAAAATTATGTGTGAGTTTAGTTATATCATTAGTCTTATTCTCTTGTTATATGTTTTTACTTGGACTTTAATTCAATGGTCTAGTCTAGTCTGATTTCTTTGTATTTTTATAATTATCCAAGTCTGGTCTCGTCTGATCTGATTTGTTCTGGTCTGATCTAGTCTGGTTTGGTCTGGGACAGATTACAGTCCAAGTAAAAACATCTTTATGCTTGTTTAAACTTTAGTTTTTTTGTTGACGCATTTGTTCTTAGTTTTTTAATATATATGCATAAACTCCGTATTAGGTATATATTGTTATGACGGGCAAACAAAAGTAATACTCGTACAAACGTTCTTTATGAGATTGAGAATAATGATAAAAATGACAATGTTCATAATCTTAGTGACTTATATATATAGAAAATAAATTGATGTGATTTGTTAATATTAAGTGACTTTTTGCCTAGGGCCTCTAAAGTGCTCAAGCCGCCCCTGGTCTCACTCATCTATATTTTACTTTTTTTTAAATGAATATACACTTAAAACCGCTGTAAAAAAACTCTATTTAAAGTTATGTACTCCGTAGTATTTTCTTAAATGGTGTGAAATTCTAGCGCAAGTATTTAATAATTCGAGTTTGACTCATCTTTAAAATTAATTTATCTCGCAATGATGAATACGAGCATGATACACGAGATGTACCCAACTACCCATCCACCCTTCGCTACCTACATATTACGAAACAAAAAAAAAAAAAAAAAAAATCTCGGCCTTCGCTACAAGTTTTTGGAAATGGCAGCCATCACATCGGCAGCATCCGCTGTCTCGCCATCATTTGTACAGATCCGTGCTTCTTCAACGGCTGCGGTTTCTTCATCGGGGTCACTCTTCTTCAGCGGTAACAGGACCGGACTGAAAGGAATTAATGGTCTGAGAGCTGCTAAAGTTAGAAGTAATGGCAGAAAGCGTCTTTCTTGCAACTGCTTGTTTGGGCTTGGGGTACCGGAGCTGGCGGTCATCGGCGGTGTCGCCGCGCTTCTGTTTGGCCCTAAGCAGTTGCCCGAAATCGGCCGCAGTATTGGCAAGACTATCAAGGGCTTCCAACAGGTTTGTTGCTTCTCTACCCCAACAACTAAAGGCTGCCCGTTTTTTTAGGAATTTCTATGTGTCTGGCTATATATCTGCACATAAAAGAGTGAAAGCAGAGCATGTATTTGTGTAGTCGTAGTATGCTCTCGTTCCCCAATATCTGTGTTGTCACGCATAGAGAGATAAAGTTCTTCAAACTTTTAGATATAAAAACATGAACAAATGAGTACAATCCCTCTTATTAATTCTGAATATATTTATGGATGTTTTGGTGTATGATCTTTAAAAGCAACGATTAATCTTACCTTGGTTCTCAAGATTACACATATTTTAGACTAGATTTTGTCTATAAAAAGCGATATTGAAAATGGATGGAGTAATTGGTATTGTAATGTCACACATAGAAGGAAAACAATAAGTTCTTCACTATTTTAGGGAAAAACAAGTGAATACAATCCCTCTTATTAAATATGGATAGTATTGATTGATGTTTTAGTGTATAATCTTTAGAAGAAAAATTAATCTTACCTAGGTTTTTAAGACTGCATACATTTTAGATCTAGATTTTTTTTTTAATAAAAAAACAACACTAAATTGGATGGAGTAATTGGTTTTGGCCAGTGGCTCAAGTTTTGATTGAAAAATTTTATGCTTTTGGTTTCTTGGATGTTCATATTAATTACCAGGATTCTAATGGACAAAATATATGCTTTTAATTTTTTGGAATCACTTTGCATTGCAGACAGAAAGTAAAAACCTTGGGGAGAATGAAGAATCTGATTGCACTTACAAGTTGAATGTTAAAATTAGATTTTTAGTTTTTTACTACCAATAAACTGTTAAGATCCGGGGTTCCATTATAGGAGTAGTAGCCCAAAGCCTTATGTAGTGTTTAATTGTTCTATAGCTTTTCGGTGTGGAACAAATGCTTTAACACGCCCCCTCAACCCGAACCGGACTGGACAATATCGGGGTGTATAAACGGGCCAAACAAACCCTTAACAACCTACCCTTAATCATGGGTGCTAAACAAGCCGTCAAACCACAACCGGGGTTTCATTCTAAAAGGTCAACAGGAGTAGCCCAAATCCTTATATAGTGTTTAATTGTTTTATAGCTTTCCGGTGTGGGACAAATGCTTTAACTCATGCACTTAAAACCACAACCTGCATCAGAGGGGTGCTTTTCAAATTTTAATTGGACTTCCTTTGGTTTCCTAGATAAAGAATGCTTAAAAATGTTTCTCTTTCCATTTACATTGTTTTTAATTACATTTTATGAGAAGGCTATAGAGGGAAAGCACCAAACAAATAACTCCAAATAGAAACATAAATGACTACGAATCATCGCAAAATCTTTATGTGGTCACTTTATTAGAAGTTTTGTACACTGGATCTACTAGAAGTTGTTGATTGGGGCATATCAACATTCTAACTTTTTAGATTAGGTCATATAAACATTCTCACTTTGAATCAGATGGTGTCTATGGTGTCTACTGTTCATGTTGTTGGTTGAGGATTTTAAATATACACTGCACAGTGATAGCTTTCATGTTTATCTGCATAGGATGGCAGTGGCATTCATGTATTCGTTCTCCTGCCATGGAAGTGTAGTATTTTGCTGCCTTCTTCTGATTCTTGTACATCTGGTTATGATGTCATACATACTAGTGAAGAGTCTAAGCATAAATGTGCTATTTCAAGCATCAGGCATAACATTACCAATTGACGCTTTCGTCTTCTATCATTGATACTGCTTCTGGAGTATTTCTTCATTTCCAAAAAAATTCACAACTTTTATGAGCAAAATTGTAGGGGTATTGAATACTATATAAAAGTGAAAAGATATGGAACAGAAGATGCTAAAGTAATAAAAGTAGAGAGAGATGAAAAAGTAGAAACATTATTATCATATGATGAGATCATATTTACTGATAAGGAAAAGTGGAGCAAGTAATTAAAACATCCACAAAAAGAAAGTGTATCAATTAATAAAAGGAGTGAGTATATACTACTAAAACTTAGTACAGGCTTCTGCCTATGGGATGTTCTATGCCTAGAACCCCACAAAATAGTGCAAAGGTTTAAGAAGAAGCTAGACAGGCTTTCAAGATTAAAGTTACTCCTAGAGTAGTTGTCCTGGTATTAGCATTTAACTATTTAGACCTTATAGAAATGAGATTTCAATGGTTACAAGCAATTCAAAATTGTCATAAAATTTCATCATCATTATTATCATTACGCCAGTGCCACAAAGGCTCCCATCAATTGTCATGAATGATAATGAATTGTCAGAAAATTTAATTTCAAATTAACTGTTAATAAATAATACAGGATTATTCCTGTCCGGAAATTTCGGACAGGAGCCCCGTCCGGCCTCCTCCATTTGGGGGCCTTCCCGGTGGTATTTTTTGCTCAAATTTTTTGTGCATATTCCTCATCAAGTCTAGTTCATCCATACCAAATTTCAGCAAAAAATTCAATCGGGAAAGTCGTCAAATGATTTTTGCAAGTTAACTGGTCCGGAAAATGTAAATTTAGTTATTTACGGACCAGTTAACTTGCAAAAATCATTTGACGACTTTCCCGATTGAATTTTTTGCTGAAATTTGGTATGGATGAACTAGACTTGATGAGGAACATACACAAAAACATTGAGCAAAAAATATCACCGGGAAGGCCCCCAAAAGGAGGAGGCCGGACGGCGCTCCGGTCAGGAAATTCCTGACCGGAAGATTACTCATAAATAATAAGCCTAAATAATAATCATGAATGAATATGCCTTTGGAGTGTGTGTGTGTGTGTTCACACACACATAATGGATGAATCAAGTGAGAACATTCATCATGTCATTACGTAGAAGTTAGGGACAGATCTAAACCATTGATAATGCAATTGCATGGTTGAATTACTCCATTAACTAGTAGAACTTTTCACTGAAGTGCTCAATTAAGAAAATTGCATGTTTGAATAACTAAATTTGCATTGACGATGAAATTAATGTGCAGTTCAGTTTACAACATTGAAAAGGGGCAAATATGGCGTTTTTTTTACTTCAACATTGTATCACTGAACAATTGGATCCAATTGTCCAAATCTGCCCTTGTTTTGCACCTAAATTATGTTTCTCACCAGATCTGGTCTCTATATGTGTGTGTGTGTGTTTGTAAAACTAAAGAGAGTCTGAGCCGTTTTTTGTGATTCAGAATACGAAATTGGTTGATCTTATAGGAGAGGTTTAGATCTAGGGTTTTGTTTTTAACACTTCTGTGCAACAGTTTAGCATGTAACGATTGCATTCTTTGCCCACACATTCCTTTACAGGTTACTCTTTTTACCGTGGTCAGGTGCTCATACACTACTCACATGATCAACATTATTTTAATATCTGATTTTGGTACATCAAACTTTTATAGTATTCAAGTACGAGTTTTGCAGTTCAATAGAAACTTTAAGTGTTACTTCTATGTGTGTAGATTTTTAATTATTAATACAGGGTACTAATTCAATTAAGATTTAAGAGAAACAACTTTACTATCAGCGAGACATCGTAAACTGAAACGTAAGCTTTAATATAGGACAAAAGGGGAGTTGTAATATTATGAAGAGTCTAAGTGTATCCATATTGCTTGCAGGCAGCAAAGGAATTTGAAACAGAGCTGAAGAAAGAACCTGACCAACAGCTCGGCAACGAAGCTCAAGAAGTTGGCCAAGAAAGTGGCAGGGAGAATTGAGGATATAGGACGACAAGTGGGAATGATGCATCTGGCCATATCTTGCTTCTCTTGTAGTTGGCCACCAAAGGTCCAGTTTTTTATATGATTTTTAAAAAATGTATTTTAGTGTAAGTTCCAAGTGAAATAGAGATATTGCCATGTTTGTTGTATCGAAGCCTTTAGCTTTATTAGATGAGCTCTGCATACTCTTGTAATAGACCACCAATAAGGTGTTTCTTCTAGATATGACCAAATCGCGGTGTTTCTTCTAGATATGACCAAATTGCGGTGTTTATTCCGGTTTGGATCTGGCTAGCGGCTACCATGGAGTTACTCCACTTATAGTTCAGCTGGCTTGTTGATTCACAAGATGAACTTCTCAGAACTTGGGCATTGTTAAGACTTGTTATGCTGTGGTGATCCCATTTCCTATTTTCCTTCTCTACAAATATGCAAAAACGTTATCAAACCCCTAAACTGGAGGGGTGTTTGGCTTCGTCCACCCTGAAGCCCCAATAATGCCTCTTTCTTTTAGTTATTCTCCTAACTGCAGAAAGTTGATACATACGAGTATATGATATACTCATGTACTACGCATTAAATAAAGATAAAATTTTATACGGACATCCAAGGACTTTAATTCCTGGATTTAACAATCTTTCTTAAAACGTTATAGTTCTTTTTACTAACACATTAAACATGTTTAGATTAAACGTTAAAAATCCCCATGCACCTCATTTGATTTAGATGCATCAAAAACATGTATAAGTTGTTATTCCGTATTACTCCGTAGTTTTTAAAATCGTATCTTCTTTGGACAGTCATAAACATGTGTTGGTATTGACTTTATTTGGCATGTTGGTAACCGCAGTCCGCAGATTGTTATTATTATTTATAAAATGCTTAACGATGGTTTTTAGTTGGATTGTAATCCGTTCCAGATCAGACCAGACCAAATTTGGATAGTTATAAAAATAAAAAGAGATCAGACATTACCAGATCAGACCATCAAATTACAGTCCAAGTAAAAACATCCTAACTTTTTTATTTGAGCTCATGTTTTTATAAAATTACATCAAATTAAATATTTTTATGACCAAATGACATCAGTATTGCATAAATAAATAAAACAAAACTTATTTAAAACTACTGTGAGTAACTAAATAAAAAATACGCATTATTAATTTAGATGTTATACGAAAGATAAAAACAAAAAGCATATAAATTGATATTTTCTCCTTAAATTTGAGCACATAAAAATGAAATAATTACAAATATGTGACTAAAACAATGGCAAGGCTTAGAAATGTAATACATATACTTCAGTTATTATGATAGTAAGTTTCAGTGGCAGTAACTATATTTATAGCTCGTTTGAAAACACTGAAATCGGTTGAATCAGTTGATTTAACTGAAATTTACGAAGTTCCGGCTGAAGTGGGATTGATCCAGATGAAAAAAATATTTTTTAAATACATTTTATTAATAAAATAAAGAAAAATTATATGAAAAATAACTAAAATGGTCTTCTACAGTAACTCTAAACTAGTTGGCATTTGGATTTGAATGTTGTTGTCGTGGGTACTACGTGTTTTTAATACATGTGTGTGTTCCAATTTACTCTTTAAAAAACACTTCAACTTATGCAGTCAGAGAAGTATCTTGAACCTTACTTATTTTAATTATTACACAATTCACTGCACGATATCAAAAATTACGTACTTAGTGAAAAGGTTGTCAATAAGGTTGATAAGCCGAAAAAACGAGTCTCCAAACGGGCTCTTAGTTTTACCCAATAGTTAACGGGGCATTATACTCATAGTCACACTATGAGTAAACAACAATGAGAAGATAAGGGTTTATGTGTACAAATGTTACTCAGAAAAGATCCTGTCCAACCTTCCGGACAAGATCCTCCGCCCGGACGTCGTCATTTGGGGTGGTTCCCAATGAGATTTTTTTTAATTTTTTTTTGAACATGTTATATATTCATGAAGTGTAGATTATGTCCACCAAATTTCAGTTTAAAATTCAACCGAGAAAGCAATCAAATAAATTATTAAAAAACAACACACTTTTATATGTATAGTTTCAATAATTTATTTAACTGACTTTCAGATTGAATTTTAATCTAAATTTTTTGTGTGCATAACATACACATCATGAAGAGCATGTTAAAAAAATTCATCAAAAATATTCACCCGAAATCACCCTAAAAGAAGGCGTCCAGACGAAGGATCCTGTTTATTCGGCTGGACAAGTTTTTTTTACTCATATATGTGACTATACATATGTATATAATGTAACTGTACAAAGATCATTTTAAAGCGAGGAAGCTTTATGACAACTTCTCATTTTCTTATGTCTTTGTTGTTTACTCTTGTGAAAATCACTCTTTTAGTCTCCGAAATAGTCTCCATATTGAAATGTCAGACTGGTATTTATGAGATTGTAAACGTCACTCCTCAATTGTCCGAATTGCTATAAATGTGGTTCTTTGAGAGGTAAAATGTACTCCTCACCCACATTGTACATTTCACCACTCAAAGGATTATAAACTTGATAACACGAGTCTGACATTTGAATATTATGACTATTTCAGGAAGTAAAATGCGATTTCTCCTTTAATCTTTGACTTCTTGTAATTTCTTCTTCAAGACACTTTTAAAGTTCTTCTGATTCATAATTTTATTGTTTTATTGATTGCCTTTTAACTATGATTTTCATTCTCAAATTCAAAATGGTTTTGGTTTTCTATTTCAAGTAGATTATTAATTAATGTGCATTTTTTGAATCAATTCAAAAAATGCAAATTTATACATGGAGTTCATTAACCAGACATGGTATTCTCGGGATATCTGTGGATTTCTGAATGGTGATGACATGGTAAGACTGGAGGTCCACTTGGAGGAGACTCCAAAAAGAGACAAGAGGAATCATTGACCTTCAGCATCCTTTACAAAACTCGCAGATAAGAATAGTGAGTCAGAGAGAGCGAAAATGGACAGGGTATTCTCGGTGGATGACATCGCCGACGAGTTCTGGTCGCCACCCCCGCCGGTTCCTCTGTCCCGCGAGTCCGAGCTCGGACTAGGTTCCTCCTTGAATTCCTCCGGCTCCCCACCCTCCTACGGGATGATGAACAGATGTTCCTCTGACTGGAATTTCCACGGCTTTGTCCAGGAAGGCACCGTCGTTGATCAGAACTTTCCTCCAACACTTCCGATTGGCCCCGCTGCCGCTGCATCTTCTTCTACGTCTACTTGCCATTCGGTACAACTGCCCAGCAACGACTTTCCTGAGATAAACCAGCGGAGCCCCGCTTCCGGTGCTGCAGCTGCGGCGAAAGTAACAGAGACGGGTAATAAGTGTGCAGATACGACGGCTTCTCTCTTGCCGATACCCGCGAATGGTGTTCCTGTTGATCCAGAGGCGCACCAGGCTTTCCTCAAAACCCGCCTTGATCTAGCTTGTGCTGCCGTAGCTTTGACCCGTGTACGCGTCAATGCCTTTTTTTTATACCTCTTTGCTTTCGATTTCTCCTGTCGAATAGAGTTTATTATCTCTTAGATGTTGAACTTTGATGCTTATATTCTTCTATATCAGTGATTCCAATTTTCAGTATAGTAATAATGGGTCATTAGAAAATACATCATTCATTCCGCTCAAATCTTTCCTTGTTAGTGTTAGCATGACTTGCTCCACTTTCCACTTGGGCAATTATGAACTTTCATTATTCTTCCATCCTCTCTTAATTGTGCTCATTTGCTATCTTATGTGCTAGGCAAATATCTTCAGGGCTCAAGATTCAACTACCATGCCGCCCAGTAAGGGTTCATCCGCATCTAATTCATTTGAACAAGGATCACAGATGCCTCCTAAAGGTTAGTATTTCTTGTCAAGATCATGCAAGTGTCAAGTAGACGTCCGGTAGTCTCCTACCTGGCTGCAACTGTTGTACAGGTCAAATGGCACATATCATATCTTGCATGGATTGATATTTTTAATTGTTTCTCTTATCATAAATATTACACTTTCAACAATCTTTAGTATTCACTATTCACGTAAAGGTTTCCTCTGCAAACTATATGTGTGCGTTGGGGGGAGAAGGAAAGGTAAAATGATTGATTGAACAAGAGTTGCTACTCTGTGTTGTTCAAGAAGTAGATATGTTTGCTAAGAGTTGTGCTGAAGTTTGGGGCGATAGAAGATGTAGTTGGAGAGAGAGGGAAAGTAAATAGTTAATTAGAATTGGGGGGAAAAATACTTATGTTTTGGTAGGCAAGTTTATACCTATATAACTTTTTGAAATTCATAATTACAATTGCATTTGAACGGCACTAACTGGCAGTCCCAAAGAGGAGGTCAGAGGTTCGAATCCCATCCCAGTTCAAGGATGTTGGCCTTGACAGAACATATACTATACTCCCTCCGTTCCGTAATTAAGTTCCTACTTTCCTTTATGGGATGGTACATATTAAAGTTCCACTTTTCAACATTTCCTTATTTGGCAAATGATTTACACCAAAACATTGCCAAAACAGTGCCAAACAGAGTCTGAACAGTGCAAAACAGTGCACTCCACAGTAAAGTCAAATTTATTTTCTTTATATGTGTGAAGTCAAACCAGGAACTTAATTAAGAACCGGAGGGAGTAATAGATTAGAAATATTTTCCAAAAAAAAAACTGGCAGCTATGCCTAGCACTGAGTGATGAAGTGTGAGTTATAGCTGTAAATTAATTTGAACTTGTCTTGGCTAAGTGGACTGTGTGGACCAATTGCTGATGTTTCATTCATAAAGTCTTCTTGTAAAGGAGCATTTCCTGAACATTGTTACTGCAGAGAATTTTTAGTATAAAAACAAATGAGGAATTGAGCATTGAGGAATTTCTATACTCGAATATTTCCATGTTTAGATTTTTTAAATTACCAGCGAAGTAATTTCTTTATACTTCTTAGATTTGTAACACAAGTTTATGCAACCATCTAATCTTGATTTACGAAGGATATTAATCACTTTAACAAGTAATTTACAACAAGTGCATGCCATGTGCTTCTAGTTCTAGTGACGATTAAATGTTTTTGTTTACATTTGTAAGTAAATTTTTAGTTTACAATTAAATATTTTTTGTAATATTTCCCGAAATAGGAGTATAAACAATGTGAAATTTCAAAATATGAGTATTATGTTTTACCCCCTAAACAGGAGTAAATTACTGCCATCTTGAAATCATACTCACATATTTTGGCATTACGAGGCATTATTATGACAATACTGATGCCATAATTGGCAGTATTTTTCTAAGCTTGGTTTTTCCTTCTATTTAGGGAATCTTCTTACTATTTTTGTGTTGCGTATATTCCTACATGTTTACTCCGGAAAGGAAAAGAGACAGAAGGCTGCTACATTTCATTTTAATTTAGAAATTTTTGAAGGAGTAGGGCTTCTCATACCATATAAATTTACAGGATGGATGGCCTGGTGGGGGCGAATAGCCAGCCCACGGTAAAAAAAACATAATATTTGTATTAATAGTTGTATAGTGCATCGAATTGTATGAAGAAATGCAATATTGAGGTCTGAGGAGTGTGTATACTGAACTAGGAGACACCTGCACAGGGAAACAAAAGATCATTCCATCTATAGAATTCTTACAGGTTCAAGAAAGCGAATTCCTAATACTTTTAAGAGTTCTGAATTCTAAGCAGAGTTAATGAAACACT